TAAAATCGAAATAAGACGTGATTTTCTGCCGAATAAATAAAAGACTGAATATTTTTATGCATTTTTTCACGAAATATAATTGAACTCTTAAGGGCATCTAAAATCGATGAGGAAATTGCATGCTACTTAAGCAATCATTTTTCGCAGAGTATGGTTTTTGCATGCAGTCGTAAATACGTTCTTTCGAAGGAAGACACCCTGAGGTAACTGGGTAATTATAGAATTATGTTGGACGGTGGTTAGTTTTACAACCATACTTAATTAATCTTTTCGAAACGAGAACGGATTTCGAAACTTCGGTCGACATTTCATGAGTTAGCCCACCTACTGTATTAGCAATGGTAGGGGGGCCGCGCACCGATCGCGTTACGGAACTCACTCGCACGATTGAGATTTTAACTTTTTTACGCATTTACTCAAGTCTGACGACGACTTGGGGAACCAGCGTCGAAAATTTACCTACTAAGGTTTCTACTTTTCCCAAGAACGCACTTGCTTTCACAATATATACACATGTATAAGAGACGGCAGGGACGACAGAGAATGCGGGTAGAATGATACGGTATTACTTCGGGCCTATTCTTCGTTCATTCTGCCAATCATAACCCTGACTAGCTGCTGGGACCACTCGCTTATGAGTCCCGTGATCGACCAACCCATCGACGTGACTCTCACCTGCTCGTAGTTTTTTCCGTCGTGTGTGATGTCTTGAGACAGGACTTCAGGATTTGGGTGATTTGGGTGTGTTAGCGGTAATTCTGTGTTTCACCTTATCTGCACTGCATGAGTAGTTCTCTGGTAGCGGTAGATTCCATGCGTATCCGCCAGTTTATCTGTTACTTTCTCTGATGATGGGTCCGAACGGGAACCCGAAACGCTAGGCAAATAAAATTCTTGTTTCAGCCATCGTATATCCTCCTCTACTGCCTCCTTGAATTCGTCTTTCCGCATGTATCAACACAACTAACTGTACTGAACTGTTGTCAATCGCATGTTTCCGTTTGTGTTTTTCTCTCTCTCAGCCTGTGCTGACTGTCCCATGGAAGCCGTCCACGGAAACCACCACCACCTCTCAGGTGGCCCCGTTAGATTCAGATTTGTGGCAGATAAGGCGCTATCTGCTGGAGGTTCAACAGACAGGAGGGAACTATTCTATAGAACCAGATCTACAAGAGGTTAGCCTGCGTAATTTCTCCTAATTGGCACTCTCTGAATACAGGGCTATTTTACGATTTACTGCTCACTAGCATCGCCAACTTCGCCGTTCTGTTGCCTTTATCCACTTATTGCATGTTTATATCGAGTTAATTGTGAAACATACGCCCGTTCTCTATCTTTCCAGTAAATGCCACTACTGGGTGGTTTTTTTAATTCAGGAATTTTACTGTCAAGCACGAGGCCACTACAATGGTCATTTCTGGTTTATTTGCCGTCGTCGGGCAAGTGATAACCAATCTCTCGACTGCACACTCAAAGTTTGAAGCCGGGTCAATCAACTATTCAGTATCGCCCAGTATACGGACTACGCGGTAAATGTACTGCCATTAACCGAATACGCACCCACAACAGATGTCAACGTCTGGGAGTGTGGCGGCTGGCCCATTTGTCGGCTCATGTGCTGGATCCCTGCCGACCCCCCAGTTTTATCCGTGTACAAAATCCTGGTCAGTGTCTGTTGCGGACCAGGAAGTGTGGTGGCACGCCTAGGAGCGGGTTCACTCGTCGTGCCAGCCACTTACGTCTTCATCCACCTCCGTCCCCCTTCAGTGTGTCTTGACATCGGGCCTAGGTGGGGGAGGGTGCGGTAGATGCTGTACAAGTCCGCTAACACCGTACCTGCTCACAGTTTGCTGTGGGGAGCACACGGTAGACATCGTCGGTGCCTATTCCGCACTCGGAAGCAGTGAGGAGGAACGACGCCAACTCCCAAGTCGCAGCTCATTCGGCTGGACCCAATCACACATGCATGTTTGACGAAGCAGAACTTCCTGCTAGAGGCGACAACCGCGTGAGCCGTAAACTGCTCGAGTCATGCTTTTCCGGTCCTCATTCAAGCAACGACCGCGAGGAGGACGTGCGGATTGCCACTGTCCCCGGTATCAATGTGGGCAAGCCAAATTACCCAAGGGTCCACACGGATAACGAAATCCGGTAGTCAGTCACTCGGCGGCGTGCGATGAGCGTGGGAGCCGATAATCTTGACCGGCACACAGTCACATAGCAACTGTATGGCAACGGCATACTTCAACAGCTGGCCAGTCGAGCTGTGATGCACTCGGGAGCTGCCAACTGTGATGGGCATGTAGCGGCCCAGCAACTTCATCCTATAAATATTGCAACACCTGGGCAATCCACTACCCTTATCTGACTCTGATGATGGATTCTAGTGAGAATCCGAAACGTTAGGCTGATAAAGCACTTGTTCCAGCGATCGTGTCTCCTTCTCCGCGATCAAACTATTATCGCCTCCCACCCGGCAGTCCGACCGTCCTGACGGACGATGTCCACCCTGTATTCCATAGCAGGGTGAGCACAGGGAAGGGGACTTGTGCATGGATTCTTTCATAGTAATAGTAGACTTGTGTAGCATTTACTGCATGCAATCCTTCTCCCTCACCTGGTTCCGTGTCAAAACGTAGTCATGAAGACAGGAAGCGAAAGAGAACGCAGGTGACTGGCTGGGCGAGTAAGCCCGCACCTAGACGTACCACCAAACCCCCTGGTCCGAAACAGACGCTGACCAGAATTTTATACACGAAGGAAATCTGGGGCTCGACACGGGCCCCCACTGGCGCGACGTGAGCAGACAAATGGGCCAGCCGCCACACCCCAAATGTTGGTGCCCATTCCGACCTAGTCCGGCGCATCTACTGCGTGGCTCGTATTAGGGGCACTAAGGACTCGCATCATACCAGCTGAGCTCGGGAGTATTCAATTACGCAGAAGTGGCGTGCACCGACTTCCATCTTCCTTTCCGACCGCCGGTCGCACGATGGCCATCAAGCAGTTGTTGAAAAGGTTTGCCGACGAAGACTTCGTCTTTAGCCTTTCCCTGCCGTTTTCTCACGTGGATGACAAACCTGCTGTAGCCCTTCCTCCGCCACTCTTTACTGCGTTTCGGCTCTTATGACGAGAATGCTAACACGTCTTAGCTTCACCGCCTCCGCGGCTTGGGTTCTGCGTCTTTTTGGTAGCCTTCCCGCACATTGCGTTGCCATTGTCTTTTCCATGTTTGTGAGGCCAAGGCAATGGCCTTTCTTTCTCTGCCCCAACCCGAGACTGAGGAGAGGTTTCTGCCGAGGGTCTTGGGAAGGCATGGTAGCCTACTCTTTTCCTTGTGGTAGACATGTCGTTTGCATATCGGTACCTCAATGCCATCAATTTCCAGCTTTCCGCCGCAAGAACTCCATTTTTTCCGCGGTGCAAATGGCTGGGGAACCTTTACGTTCCGTGATTGCCTCGGTGCCTTCACTGAGTTCCACAAAGCCACACCTGCTTCAGCCCAGCCACCAGGCTAGCTGACGCACGTTCCTGCGCCTCCCTTGGATTGTTTCCTCATTTGAAGAAGAAAATAGGCTCTCCGGAACAGGTTTATTTAACTGCTGACGTTTCAAATAGCTGGGTCGGCTCTTCATTGTCAAAGCCTAAAATGCACTTAATCGATCAGAAGTTTAATTTAAAGTGGCATCTTGTGTTGGTCGGCCTTATGCTGATCGATGTTTCTCTCCTCTCGCCGCCTCGGCCTCTCGGGAGATGGTGGACGGGCGTTTTGCCTGTGTGCTTTGTGAGTCACCACTCCCTCGAGGGGAGCTGAGTGAACCTCTGTCGGGCGGTCGGTCTGGCGGATCTTCTTCTTCCTCACCGAGTAAACTCAGCGTCAGGCTGTCTCCGTAGGGTCTTCTTAAGTCCGGTGTGGTTGTTTGGTCCTGAGCTCTACGATGGTGATGACGTAGGACTTTGTAAGCTGCAGAAAGGTCCAGATGGCTGTTGATAGAGTGGGGATCGGAGAACCACGCCTCGAGAGTTAGCCGTTCTGCTTTTGTGTTGCCTCGGCCTAAGATGGTAGCCCTCTGGAGGTCAAAAGTATGCCCTGTTTCTTCAACGTGTGTTGCTAGTTGAGAGTTAGGGTCTAACCTCCGAGTGGCCGATTTGTGCTCTTGTAGGCGAGTTTGCAATTTCCGCCCGGTTTCGCCCACGTAGTTGCAGTCGCCCTCATTGCAATTTATTTTGTAAATGACTGCTGAGGTTTCAGCGGGTGGCAACGGGTCCTTGGGTTGCATCAGGCGACGTCTGCTCTCTCCAAATAATCTTCCCGGATCTCTCAACTTTGCCAATTGTTTCCTCATCTGTCCTTTTTACTTGTAGGTTGTCAATCGAGATTTCGTGAATTGGCGCAAAGAAAAATCAACATTCATAGAAGCGGAGGACTTTGCGGTTATGCTCTGTCTCTTAAAGCAAGTTTTCATTGCATAGATTGATTTCCTATTGGTGTACCCTGTGACGTACTTAGTAGAGCATTGTCTACCTCATCGGAACGCCTGGGTTCGAGACCCTCCCCGGCTTAATTTCCCTCCCCCCCATTTCACGCGCAATCTGTTGATAAAAGGAAGCAATTAGCATCGTTATCTGCTTTGCAGTCTGTATTTCAGTCGGTTTGCTCTTCTTCGTCCTCCTTGTCTTCCTAGGCTTTACGTGCAGAGTTACGGTGAAAGTCGGCCAACTGAGGAGCATTGGAGATCTGTTGTCGCTCTGGAAACCGCGCGAAAGACACGGCTCAAAGAGACCACAGTCAACTAATGGGCGTCGGACTCTCTTCGAAGATTCCCCTCCTCCCCCCACACCTATTATATTTTTATACACACTTTCTCTACCCACGTTTCACATCTCTCAGAGGTATCGTACTAAAATAAAGCGCGTCCACATGTACGCAGATCCCGGCGTCTTCTTCAAACTTGCTGGTTACATAAAGTGTCCACAGCGGGGTTTTGTTTTTCTTAGACATGGACGAAAGCTTCGAGGAGACAGGTCAGGGACCGCTGGCCATGTACGTGTATTCGGATGACGAGCTCATCGAGCCAGGCCAGACCCCAAAGATTAGTCTGGCGGCCTTGAATGAACATCCCAGTTTTCTCCGGTCGGAGTGCTTTGAGTCCACCCTCGATACTGTTACTGTGCCTCTTCTACCTGATGAAGTCCTGCGTCTTCTCCGTCGCCCCTCCTCCCGGCGTCTTCGACAGCCAACACAGGAGCCACTCAATCTTCAGCCCTCTGAAGGTCATCCTAACCCACTTGAAGTGAGCCCTGTGGTTGTTGTTTCTTCTTCTTCCTTCCCCTCTTCTATGTTGGTCTACCAGGGTGAATTTTCAGCGAAATTCACAGACGACCACATGACCTAACGCACCCTTTGACAGGGGTTCAAAACTGGCCTCACATTAGTGATTGTTTAGGTTCTTTAGCAGAAGTCTTAGAACAGTCATAGGGTAAAGCCTTCAGGACAGGACTGCTCTGGCTTGGTCTCCATGTTATTGTGGTCATTTGAGTTTTACACAGACCGGAGGCAACCATCAGGCGTCAGATAATGAAACCGAAAGATCCGCTGCCACGGCTAGAAACGTCTGGAGTCGTTTATCGGATCTGGGGCAGTTGCAGACAAATCAACTACGTCGGTGAAACCGGAAGACAGCTTCGAACGCGAATGGCCGAACACGCTGCAGCGCTGCTGAGAAATGACGCCAGCTCTCAAGTTGCGACTCATTCAACGAGATCCGGCCACACGTTCAAATTCGACGAGGCCGAAATTCTTGCTAGAGGTGACAACCGCATGAGCCGCGAGTTGCTTGAGTCGTGGCTTACTGGCCCTCAGTCCATTAATAAGTGCAGTGATCTTCCCATTCCATACTCGGTGCTGAGACTTCGCCTAGGCGGAGTTATTAACCACGCGGGGAGCGTACAGTCGAACACTGTTCCCAACGCCAGGGTCGGTGGGTCAGATGATCGAGCAATCATCACACCAACATCCAGCGCACGTAATGAAATTGTGGCAAATAACGACGGTAATGTCAGCCATCAAACATTCATCACACCACGGGCAACGATCCATGATGAAGTGGGAGAGCTGGGAGTATTCATAAGTATGCAGTAGCATGTCGACTGCATCCCATAAATACTGCAGCCCCTTGTGCATGAACCACCTGTATCTGCTGTTGTCTCTGATGATGGGTTCGAGCAGAAATCCGAAACGTCAGGCGAATAAAGCTCTCGTCCCAACAATCGTGTCTCCTCCTTCACGACTTTCAGCTAAATTGCCGCGTAGTGTTTCTGGAACAAATACAGAAACAAGAGGCCGGATTGAACATTGCTTGTTTATTAGTCAACCTTGTCGTTAGTCGGCCACCCGCAGTACAACTTTGTCTTCCCGATCTGGCGCTCGCTGAGCCTCGTACAATCGTCTGAGAAATCAAGATGCCTTCGTCCGTCGCAGCAAAATGCCACCTTCCCGTCACTCTCGTGTGTCATTTGGCATTTCCGTTTTGCGAGAAGCAGTTTCCTTCACAGGCTGTTGCTGTTTTGTGGACAGGTTGTCAGACATGCTCACTCTTGATCGTAGTCAAGAGGACTTGAGAGGTTCGAGAGTGCCGCTAGTTAGCGTTTTCAACCGCCCTGGCCGATAGTTAGCTGGTCAACGACCTCAAACAGGCCGGAAATGCGTACAGCCCCTCCTGTGTATCTGTCAGTATGCCTGCAATGTACACATAAGTGATCGATAACTTGCCCGAGGCCATGCCGGATTGGCCGTCTCTTGCTCGAGGACCCCCTGTTGTAATCAAGCGGTGTGAGTGTGTGCAGTCTGAACGCCACCATAATCAGGGCCTGAGAGAAGGAGCCCGAATGAGGGCTTTATTGTGCACAGAACCCAGAGTTGGCCTCTCAGGCGGCGGTTGGTGTTGACTGCGTCCAGTCATGCCTGAGAGTCCTCCCAGGCGGTAGTGGTGGCAGCCGTTTTTGTAGGCTTGTAGGCCAAACTAAGTGGTTGCTAGTCAGTGTGTGTTGCATTTGCGAGGGGTGGTGTCCCAGTGGCTTGTTATGCTGGTTGCAGGGGATGACGTGTTCAAGTGGCGCATGGGTTGCCGCGACGCTGTGTGAACGCAATTGTGTCCGAGCGGAAGTCGGTCGAGTGGCTTCCGGTCAGCGCGTCTGGAACGGCTCACTGCAGAAGGGTGAATGACCTCGAGGCAGCGAGGTCTTGAACAATGACGCCAGACCGGTTATGATGACTGTCCGCTAAAGCTAAGGTATACGCAGCACTCCTTACTAAATCAAGCTGGGTTTGTCAACTGTCCCCAGAACCCTCCGAATTTTTGTTGTCGTTTGAACATCATTATCTCCTAAAGTGCCGCATCGAAATACCTCCAGAAATGACAAAATCTGTGCCAGCGAACCCTATTGCACCCTTTATCCTCGACATGGGTTTAGCGCTGACCACGGAACATGCGACACTCGCTGGTACTGCAGTTTGTTATCGTTGGACTTTCTAAAATTTCAGCATACTCCTCGACGGTCAATTTTTGTCTTTGGAGGGAGTTAGCAACTTTTCATTCAGTCCCTTCCCGCTACGGCGGCAGTGCCTTTGTTTTAAGGAGTCGTGCCTACCCGTCGGCATGACCTGTTGTTGTTGTCGTTGGACAGGCGCGCATTGCTGCTGGCGATTAGAGTGTAACTGGCCACTTTCAAATGCTGATGTCAGTGGTTTCTGGGACATGGGAGTAGGGCTTATACCAACTCCAAGAACTACAGGCACCTCTCGTCTAGTTGACAGTCCCAAACAGACAAACGAAACCCAAGGGAGATTCCCCAACTGACTCAGTGCCTCAGTTCATGTCCGATATCCGTCAC